GCCGGGAGCCGCCGCCGGGTGTGGGCACACGCGGGGCGCATCTTGAATTACACACGTGCTGATACCTGAGGTGGAGACCATGGATCCTGAAGGTTGTGTTTGGGGATTCATTTATTTTAATAAAAGGAATTACGTTCCCTTCTTCACATACAGTGGTAATCATGCCATTTGGTCGGTCTTCAGCTGGGAGTGGGAAGCATTTCCTTAATGGAAAGAAAAGAGGACCGGTGACCGGATCCAGGGTAAAAGTGGTTCAGTTTTTCCTTCCTGGTGGAAGAGGCTCATTTCTGCAGGAAACTTACAAACGTGAGAAGTTCAGTTTAACCGTAAACACGAGGCCTGATCGGGCTGAGACACCTCCCCCCGTGAGCAGTGGGTGTGGGGGCCCTGAAGTCTACTCAGCGTTCACGAAGCCAGGCCTCCCACGTGTGGGGGGACCCCCGACTTGGGGTCCAGTGTGTCCTTGCTAAGGAAGCGGTGTCCTGGCGGTGGTGGCAAGTGGGGGCCCCCTCTCTGGGCCCTACGGGCCCCAGTGTCTCTGGGGACGGCCCCTGTGCCCCGCGAGGCCCTCGGCGGCAGAGGTGGGCGGGGAAGGGCCCACTCCATCTTGAGCACGCCCTGAATTTCAGGAACTGCACCGACAGCCTGTGTGTGTTTTATTCGGTTTTTCATACTTTTATCACTTTTCCATCTTCGATTCTCTTCCGAGCGCAAGAAGAAAACGTTTCTTGTTGCGCTTGCGGGCTGGTTCCAGGAGCTCCAGCCCCTACAGTTCCCCACGGAGGGTGACTGGGAGCCGGTGTGGAAAGTGATCCCCGTTTCAGGTTAGACGTGTCTTACGCGGACAATTTCGCGGTTTGGTGACGGTGAGTCACTACCGCGAAGTACCGCAGTCGCGCGGGCGTTTTCCGCCTTTCCTGCGCGCAGGCCCCTGTTCTTCCCCCGCCTGCTCTCGCGAATCCCTTCACCATCTAGCCGCAGGTTTTATTGGAGGAAGTTGGACGGGCAGAAGCCAAGGCAGGCAACTTGAGGCAGCCAATGACTCTCTTCTCCAAGGAGGGCCTCATTGTTGCCGGGTGAAGCCAGAGACTCCGCCTCTGTGAAGGCAGGGCTGGAGGCCGGGCCTCCGTGGAGGGCACGCTTGTGACCTTGGGGGTGGGTCCTGGGGCAGATTTGGAAGCCTCGAGGAAGGAAGAACATTCTAGCATTGGGGAGAGAGGGTTTAAAAATGTAATGACTTCCCTGGGAAGTTATTCAGACACTTGGTTATTTTACAGAGGAGGCTCAGTCGCCCGGGAGAGCAGAAGCGTTAGAGACGCAGCGTCGCAATAGTGGGACGCGCAATTCCAGTGGGGACGCCGAAGGGCGCGCTGGCTATTCCGTCCTACACACAATGGAGCCCCTGCGGCTTTATTGTCACAGAAGCCTTCCTCCGCTTTCCCCACTTCACTCATCAGGAACAAGCAGTTTACAGAGTCCCTGCCTAATCTGACTCCTTACATCCCAGAGGTCAGGACTGTCCTGCTCGTTCTCCTGATGGGCTGGCCATGGGTGGAGAGTGGGGCGCCATGCAGTGAGGGAGGCTGCATAGCTTCCCCCACCCCGGCACACTCGCTGCTGGGTCATTTCAGCCACTCAGCTTTCTGCCACCCGCGCCGAACCAGCCTCCCTCCTCCTCCCCCTCCCAGCTGCTGGTCCCAGAGTCCCAGAGACCCTTTGGGGTATGTCCCCTGGCCGCTTTCTTCTGCTCCCTGCTCCTGCATCCTCTGCCTCTAGGCGGTTGCTGCGTGCCGCATCTCTTTCAGCTTTACACAAGCCGTCATTCCTCCCGCTTCGAGGTCATGCTCCCTCCTGACACTTTGATTGGCCCCGCCTCAGTCAGCCTTTTTGCTCAGAGTTGGGGTGATGGTGGTGGACTGCCCTTCCCCGCTTCCCCGGTTGCTGTCTCATCACGGTGTCCTCGACCTCAGGCGCTACAGGCTGCGATCGTGGGGTCCTGCGGCAGCAAGCCTGCCCGAGGTGTTTGCCATACTGCCGGGCTGCCTCCCTGCGGAGATCGATCTTCAGCTCAGCTTTCCTTTGCCGCTTCCGCCTGCATTGCTGCTGAGCAGGGTCACGTGCGTCGGGTCACTCCCTGTGTCGTCAGCTCCCACGCCAGGCCTGGTGCGCCACGCGGCGCGCAGAGGGCCGCCTGAAGTTGCAAGGCGCTCACGGACGCTGGGTGCGGACTGGAGCCCGAAGGGGAACAGTGGCTTTCAGAGTTTTCCTCGCATGAAAAGCCTCCTGGCCAGCATATTGGGCAGATAAGCCGAGAACCTGCTGAACGAAACGCGAGATTTGCTGAGGCTGTGGCCTCTTCCTGGGAGCGCTTGGTGTATGCCTCCCTACCCAGGCTGCCTGGCCACATCGGGGCAGGTCTAGCGCAAGAAGAAAACGTTTCTTGTTGCGCTTGCGGGCTGGTTCCAGGAGCTCCAGCCCCACAGTCTCCACGGGAGGGGGGCAGGGACTGGGGAGCCGGTGTGGAAAGCACCCCGTTCACAGGTTAGGACGGTGTCCACGTGGACACCCCGCGTGGCTCTGGTGACGGGTGAGTCACTCACTCGCAAGCACCGGCAGTCGCGGCTGCCTTCCGCCTCCCGCGGCGTCCCCGTGTCTCCCCGTGCCTCGCAACCTCTCACCATCTAGCCGTGTGGCTTTATTGGAGGAAGTTGGACGGCTTTTGGCAACTTGAGTGTTACCCACTTTCTCCGAAGGAGAGGGCCTCATTGCTGCCGGCAGCCAGAGACCGCCCTGTGAAGGCAGGGCTGGAGGCCGGCCTCCGTGGAGGGCACGCCAGGACCTGGGGTGAGTCCGGGGGCAGATTTGGCCTCGAGGAAAGGAAGAACATTCTAGCATTAAAGAGAGGCTTAAAAATGTAATGACCCCCCCCCTCCCCCTTGGGAAGTTATTCAGACACTTGCTCACAGAGGAGGCCCACGGCCCGGGAGCAGAAGCGCAGACGTGGCGGCCGTGGGCCGGTGGGAATGCGTGGGCCTCCAGTGTAGACGCGAGCGGGGCGCGTGGGCCTCCCGTCCTGGGCCACGGAGCCCTGCGGCTTTATTGTCACAGAAGCTCGCTCTCCTGCTTTCTCTCTCTCTCTCTTTCACTCTGTACCAAGCAGCTTTGCCAGGAGTCCCTGCCCACCCGACTCCTACATCCTCAGAAGGTCAGACCGTGTCCTGCCCTCCCTAGATGTGCTTTCGCGGTGGAGAGGCGCGGCGTG